GTGGTTTTCTATGAATAATTGCGTCGATTTGACAAATACTTAAAAGAAATTTCGTTTTGACGTGCAAGACATAAGAACGTTATCGATCAAAACAATGTAAAATTCAATTAATTTGCTGCAGATGATTATTTAATTTTTATAACACGTTTAATCAATTTGTCAAAGTGCTTGAGAATATGGCATTAAAAAATATACGAATTGTTTTAATAAGAAAATTCGTCGCGATGCGCATCGTAAAGCAATTCAAATTATTTAATCTATGATGAAGATTGATTTTACTTTGGTAGAAATTGCTTTTATATGGCAACCTCGAAACCTAGGGCACAATAACTCGTTGGATAACCACGTAGAGATCTTCGATGTACGCAATTTGAGCATTTAAAGAATAGATTTGTTATTTAATTGATATTTTTGTGAATACAAAATATTTGCATTTTATTTTCAAAATAAACGCAATTTTATTTCAACATCTTAACAAGAATCGGTTCACAAAAGTCCATGTGTTGCGATGATGTTTTTTTTTCGATATTATATAGTTTAAGCATATTTAAAATTTATCTATATCGAAACAACTTTTTTTTTAAGCTTTATTTATATTTATGATTTAAAATTTTATAATTGTTTAATGGACAAGACTTCGCAACCAATCGCTTCGAGCTGTTGTGTCACTTGTTGGAGCTCCTGTCTAGCGATTTCGGCCTGTTCATTGATTTTCCCAAGGAGGTCTTTGTCAGAGCAAATAATAATGGTTCGATTATGTCCTTGTACGAAATCTTCAACTCCATCCTGGATTTCGAACGGTGTTACGTAGAAACCTATAACACCTCTTGGCCTGGCACTTACAACATCGGCGAATCTTTTGATGTCTTCAAGCATGATTTGTTCGGTGTATCCATTGCAGCGAAGAACAAATTTAAATCCATCTTTTTCATAGTCGAAGACATTGAATGGAAATTCTTCGTGTTCTTGATTGGAAGTTTCAGATTGAGCCGGCATTTTTCGCGATGTTGTTAAGTACGATTGAAGCGATTAAAGAAGAAAATGGCAGATCCTGAAAATTGGACTTATTTTATACGAAAATTTTGGGGTTTATTTTTGTTTTTTTTTTTTTAGGGTCAAAAGGATCTTCATTAATCAAAACAATCGAATAATGCAATGTTAGTTCAAAACTTGTTCAAAGCCTTGTTCAAGACTAAATTTAAATTTAATTGAATATATAAAAGTATCTAAAACTAGTAAACCTGCACGTTCATGTATTCGTTTTCTGTTTGTAGTCGAACTAAATTTGTTGATTCGACTAAGCCGAAAATTAACATTGGCTTAGCCGGTAACAAATGTCCGAAATTCGGGCCTACGACTAGAGGTGCAGGTAAATCGTCCCAATGATGCCGTAACTTTGCCGTAATTATATTGAATAATTATAAAAAGTTACGGTACATTTGCTGTAACTTTTTATAATTAATGTCGCAGATTAAAATGAAATCAGATTAAAATGAAACTGGGGACCTCTCTTGCTCACCTTTAAAGCTTATAAAACTCACATATACTCTTTTATTAATAACCCTAACCCTAAACCCTAATCTTAAAAAAAACATATCGGCTGATTTGATTTTTTGGGCCTTTTTTCGATAAACTGTTACACGAAAATTTGCTTCTAAATGATGTTAAAAAAGAAACAAATGAAGTACTTATTATAACTAACAAAAGAGCTTTTTTA